GGTGGCCCTGTAGCGTGGCAGCGGGGAGCCCGGCACAGCGGGGAGGCGGGGTGGCAGCCCCACCGCAGGGACATCGCACGCTCAGCCCTGTGTGCTAACTTTAGTTAGCGCTTCAGTGTCACCTGGGGTGGAGCCTCGCTTTGTGCACTTGCCTTCTGGCTGCGCCCTAAGCCTTGGTTTTATTTTATTTTTTGCAGGTTTACGGCCAAGGGTCTGGCCTGGACTGTAGGCACCATGTCCAGAAGTTAAACTTGCTGCAGGGTGAGGCAGAGGAAGCTATTGGTTGGACATCTCGGTAGAGTGTTTGATCTTTATTTGCTTGTTTCTTTTGATGTGCCACGGTTGATGCACATCTTCACACACTGGGTGCCTGTTACCTAATTTGAGCTCACAGGAGGGTTTTCTGTCCTGTTGTAGAGCCATGACATGTGCTGGTTTTGTCGTCACCTCGTACCAACAAGCTGTTTGTTGGGTTTAGTGTCCTGGCATGTTTCTTTTGACAAGGACTTTTTTCAGATAAGTTTAGTTGATCAATAATGTGTGTTGGTCAGGCTTTTAACCATTAAAATATATGCAATAGGTGTTTTGTTTTGTTTTTAAATTGGTCTTTCTTATTTACTGTTTGACGAGCTGACTGTGGAGGTGTCCATCTTACAGACTGACAAGCCGTGCAGAGGTGCATCCTCAGAGAGAAAATACCCTCCACTCTAAGCTATTGCTACCTAACTGTTGGCGTTCAGGGGTTTCACACTGTGAATCTGTTGAGTAATGGCTGCTGCTATTGATAAAAAGACTTGTTTGGTGCAAACATTTGGTTTGCTGGGCTGGAAAATCTGAGTAGCACTTTCCTGTTTATTTCATTCCTGAATCTGTTTACAAATCACCTAATCCTGAACTGGTCTTGAACTGGTCCAGCTTCCTTTTTACTCAAGGTTATTTTCAGAAATCAGTCAAAGCTAGTTAGATAACTTCGTTGTGTATATGCAGTGCTTCAGGGTTAAGCTTTGGGAAGAAAACTCACTTTATCAAAAAGGGTTGCTATTTCTATTCTCAAAACGTTGTGAAATTCAAAACATTGTGAAATAACTTCCCTTTTTCCTTGGTTGCTTGGGATATAATTAGTGGGTTTAAACTGTTGTCCTAAAAGACACGCTGTTATATCCCTGGTTATGATCAGTTAGAATTTAGCACTTCATTATTAGTGGCTTTAGATGAAGCTTGCTACTCTGTTTGTATAGAAGGAACGAGGGCTACCCTCTAACTAGATTTTTTTCAAGTATTTGGGCAATATGTCTTGCAAATCCTTCATTTGACATCTTCTTTTCTATAGATCCTTTTTTTTTCTGACATGCCGCCTATCTGGTGTTCCTATCCATGCTTTCTATCCAATCCCTTGTGCTATGATTAGGTTATTTGAAAATTATAAATCAACAGATGGAAGTGTGTTCTAGAAACTCTAGTTTAAACCTCTATTTTAGGTGTGTAGAAGAATCTGTAAGTGACGGCAAAAATATAGCAGCCCAACATGAAGACAGTTTGGTCCAGCAGGTAAGATACTTGCAAAGCTGAGGTAAATACTAACCCATACTGACCTAGGTGAATCAAAGTGAAATCAGTGATCCCTTTATATGGGCTCAGATAGCTGAAATATATATATAATCAGAGAGGTTCCAGCAAAGAGAATGAGATGTATACAGAAACTCTGCTCCACTGGGATACTGAACCTGGGAACACGATACAGGAACATGTCTAAACTGACTTGTGATTTAAGGTATTCAGCACATACATAACAATGCCAAAAATGAGAACCCTGTATTTTGCTGTTTTCAGTAATTCTCTGATTTTGTAGGAGGAAAGGGCAGAAGTCAGTCGCTGGAGTAAATACCTGGACAAGGACAGTGAAGATCAGGAAGACAGGGAGGAAGAGGCAGGTGCAGAAAGGCAACATTTCTGTTCCCGGAGGAAGAACGCTGTGGAAGAACAAAGGTACAGAAAGAACTTTTTTTTTTTGATTCCTACCCCCAAGTGGTGACATTTGGTTTGGAGATGTGGGAGGTAGCTCATCTCTGATAGCTGAACAAAGTACAGGCTGCAATGTACAACTTGAGCAGGGATTTGGTATTTGGGGGTAAAACTGCTCTTATTGCTAGAGCCATGCATTTTATGAACATTTCTGGTTATTTGTGAAAAAAAATCACAGTGGAGCTAATCTGTCCTCTTTGTGAATGGTTTTCTTGGCCAGGAAACACCAGAAGAGCTTCCTCTCCAGTGATCTTCAAGAATATGCAGAAGAAAATGGAGTTTTCCAGCTTGCCTACCAAGCCAAAAAGGTTAAAACCTCTGAGGTATTTTAGTTGTAGAAGATGCTTCCTACCAGTAAAACAAAACAGTGTTCTCCTGACCTCTTTTGTGTCATCATAATTTTGAAGTTTTATGAGTCTTCCTCTGCTCTTCTGTTTGAATGACTGGGGAGGAGAAGAAAATTGTGTCTGGACCTCTCTGAAAGGTTTTAGTCAGGCAAAAACAATGCCAACTTGTGTAAGCTGAGTGGTTGAGCTGGATTCCTCTATCAGCACAGTTGCAAACTATGCGGCTTTGCCTTACTGAGCAGTGGCACCTGTGTGGTATGCAATTATTAAGGCTCTGTGATTACTGCAGTGCCAGTGAAGTTGGCCTGAGCCTTCACAGCCCATAGGCCCACCCAGCACATCAGCCTCAGCTCTGCCTCAGAGGGCTGGTGAGAATTTGGATGCATTTGAAGGACCTGAGTGCTCTTTCTCTGCCTGCTTCTGTGCAGCTGGATTTATAACCAAGCTCTCTTTCTTCTTACAGCGCAAGAAATGTTTAGTAGCAGCGCCTGATCAAGGTGATGGAGATGCTGTTTCTGGAGACAGTATGGTTCCTGCTGTCTGTGAGTCCGTAGTGCCTGAGGAGAATACTCAAACCCCAACTGCTTGTACCAAACCCTCGAAGTGGGAAAAATTTCTCTCACATTCTGACAGCAATAGCAAAAATGCTGCCAGGGTCACCTTGTCACCACAGGAGGGCAGTGGAAGGTTGGGGCTGCACAGCACCACTGTAGCAGACCCTGGCATGGCCAGTAGATGCTCCGAACAGGCTGGAAGAACTCTACCTCAAGGTAGAGGTGTTGAATTTAAAAAGCATGTGGCTAGCGCTGAGCGGCTTGCCTCGAAACTGCCTGGCACTGTGGTGCCCAGCACCAGTTGCTCAGTTGAGGAGGGCGTGTTGTTCAAAGAGCCTCAAAGCCAATTGGAAAGGGTGGGATCTGGTGCCTTAGACACCACTGCAGGAAGGTGCTGGTTGGATAGCACGAGGGCAAACACCCTTGTTAACTCTGCTAGGCTTTGGCCCAGCATTAATGTTTCTTGTGAACACCTCTTCTGCACAGGTGAGGAGTTTGATGATGATCTCTAAGTTCAGGCATCTTTGGCATTGCTGTCTTGTTTGTCTCTGTAATGTATTTGGTATGTTGAGTTCTGAGGCAAGATTTTGAACTGAAGATGGCTTTACTCTAATCCTTGCAGAACTGCACTATTAAAGTTGTTTACTTGCTCTGTGGCTGTTTTGCGGGAAGGGTACGAGGGAGGAAGAAACTGTTGCAGTGGGTACATAGTGTTGTCTAGCAACCTCATCAGCTAGAAATAAGAATGGAAGTAGGTCAGCTTCAGGAAAGAAAGCTCCAATGCTCTAAGGAGTCCTGGCCGGTACAATTAAATTCTGTCATTAATTCCCCATTACAAACTACAGCTCTTTTCCCCTGTGCTACCTCTTTGTTTAGATCTCCCATAGCAACCCTTTCTTCCAGAGCTGCAGAGCAGGCTTCAGAGCTGGCAAAGCATTTGATTTCCCTCCAGAAGTGTAGCCCTAAGGGGGTACACCAAGGTATGTACAAAAAGGCAGGCCTACAGTCCTGGGCTACCTCCCTTGCACAGGGAGCTGCCTGATGAAATCACATGCTCTTAGCAAGTCCTTCCACTCTTTTAATTAAGGAATACAGCTGTGATACTTAAACACTCACACAGAGTCATCACAGGAAGTAGTATTTATTTTTCCTCCATTCTACAAGCACTTAGGAACATGAAACAAAAACCCTTAGCCGAGAGAAAGATGAACCGCTGAGTAAGTTGTACTGCATTGCTTGCTTTCAGTTAGAAGGGAAGTGCTTTTGGTTACAGAGACTACTACAAGTGAGGTGGCTGCTTGGAATACTGGATGGCATCTAGTGCTGCCCCGATGTCGCAGTTCTTTGTCTGCAGGAGTCGAGTGAGCCATCCACCCTCATCAGAGAAGCCCATAGAGAGCATCTGGGACAGAGATTCAATGAGGCGAGGGTCTGCTTCTGTTAAGAGAAGAACAGTTTAAAGTTGCAATATTTCATGTAACTGGCAAACCAGCCAAGGCTTTAATACCACACAGCAGGTAGGCTGGCGCTAATCCTAGTAAATCTAGCATAGCCAGTTAAATGCTAGAAGACAGGCCCTTCTTTGTCTCCCAGGAGGGCAGATGTTTGAGATAAGATACATAACCAGCTAAGAAAACTGCTGAGTCAGACTCAGCTGGCCTTGCTGTAGGACTCTGTGCTGTTGATCTCAGTTAAGTGGGCTGGCATACTGTTACCATAAAAATGCTGTCTTGAAGTCACAGGATGTACTAGTCTGTACTAGTCAGCATACAGACTCTCTTCAAAGAGTCTCTCTTGAAGAGTACAGAGTAAGGACATGATTTAGGATACCACCTTTTTTCATGTTGCTTGAATGGCATATTAATCTAAGGTCAGAAGTCTTATTATGACTTAGCTGCCACATGCAAGAAGAGAACCACCTGACCGTCTCTAACAGGGTGCAAGAGCTGCCATACCTGCTAACAAAGTTTGGACAAGTTTAGCTGTAACTTATGTGACCCTGGTTTCTACCATCTCTAAATGCAGGTCTGCTTATGTCAAGCAAGTTGGCAGTTCCCAAGTGAAAATTACTCTCAGTTATGAAACCTACATACATTCTCATACCTGGTGGGAGATGTGGGTAAAGTGCAGCTTCTCGCAGTCCTGTAGGTCCTGCTTGGGGAGCATCCTGAGATACATCCAGGGAGCTGGGACCCTCTGTCTCTGGCATTTGCAGAGACTGCAGTTCACCTGTGGAAGGATCCACTTCTTTGGAAGATAAGTGGGTCCAGTCCTCATCACCCCCTGATGAACTGCTGGACTCACTGTGTTCCTGAAATGGAAAGAAAAAAAGGTCCAGGTGCTGCACTGCTTTCCAGGTAGGATGCCTGCTCCTACTATCTGCCTTTAATATGAAGAGTTACATCCCCAAGAAGTCCCACCACCTTTGCTGTAAACCTGTAAAGCAAAGGTGCTGTATATCACTTAATCTGCTCACATCTTAATATTCAATCCCACAATGCATGCTAAATGATTATCTTCCTTTCTAGTAAAGCCTCAGCAAGCATATTAGATTAGCGTCATGGTTCTTGTACCTGGGACTGGAAGCTGCCATCTTCCATTTGTGTGGGCACAGGATCTATCACCATGTCTTGTATCTGCTCTGCAACAGCATTTACTTCTGCAGCAGAATCTGTGTTATTCCTGTCTGGTTTGGTCTGAACGTTCTGGTCAAGAGTACTGCTGCTTGACTCAGCACTGTTCTTCTCTTGACTGGGAGAAGCAGGAGTCACTTTGCTTCTCTGTCCTCCATGTTCCACATCAATATCAACTTCAATACCTAGAAATGCATTTGAGATGGAGAAAGCCTTACACAGATTTTTCCAAAGCACAGTCCTAAAAGAACTTGGATCAATCCTAGTCTAAATGCCATAAGGTTTCTGTAATCCTACAGCTTGCCATGTAACATGTGGGAATTAAAATGCAAAGCATTCTTTAAACAAAGAATAGTTAAGCACCAAGTAGTCATCTTCCTTTAGACAGACAAGCCATACATTTAGAGGGTCAGGGCAAAAGTTATCTACGTCCACATAGGCCAGGCAAAATCCTGAGTCACCACTGATTTAGTTTTACAGGGGTGACATGTTAATGAAATCTTTCCTCATTTCCTTCCAAAGAAGGGCACTGAAAAGGTACCACATGGCTGTTCTAAGCCTAGGCATTATTAGTACCAGAAGTAAATTAAGCCTTCAAGGCTTAGTAGCATGAGGTAGGTCCGGTATCAGTCACAACAGCTGACTGCTGCTCCTGTTAAGAGGACCTTTAAGCCAGTCTTAGGGGATTGGGATAAACTGCAAGTCACTTACCCAGGGGGCTCAGAAAAGCTGCAACACTCTCCCCAACATTCTTTAAGAAGGTGACATTGGGGTCCTGAGGCTGGCTGTTAGTAGAAGCTTCTAGAAAAACAATTTCTGTTAGCACACTAAAGAGCACCTACAGAGTGTATCCCCATGAGATCCTGGTGCTTATTTCCTGTCACTCACATACACTGCACAACAAAGGCAGTACAGAGACAAAAACTAACTCTGAGCTACCTCTGGAACAGAAAACCAGTGGCATTAGCATTGTTAAGGCTCATTAGCCATGCTGAAAGGCAGATCTGGAGTAGAGTAGCAACATGCTTGACCTAACAGCTCGGCTTGGTTTGGTTCCAGATAGTCTCTGCATCCTCATCCACTGCACAGGCCCAAGCATGCCTTAAAATAATCCCACTCTATGCTAGGTGCTAATTATATTTCAAGCAAATTAGATTAGTTCCTATGTCTATTTTGCCACCCAGATTCCACCCTGTGCCGCAGAGCGGCTACTCTGGCTTCCACTACCACCTTGTTTACCAAAGCATCTCCTCTTACCTTCTGCAGTGGGTGGACTGGAGGCTGCAGCACTGGCTTGGGCTTGTTCGGAGTTTTGGCATGGAGCTGCAGGGCCAGGATATCCCCAGCAGTGCATCCATGGGAAGGGTGGAACACCATGCCGCATTTTACGGAGCCAGCGTCCTCGGGGAAGCCACTGTAAAGGGTAATGTTCATGGGGCTCTGTTCACACAGCCAGATTCTGAGTAACTGAAACTTATGACTTAAATTGGTAGAATATGCCATTCATTAGTTCCCCTCCATAGATTTTGCTCACCTCAAATGCATTTAGCAGTGGGCTTTGAAACATCACCATGTTGTGTTCCTTGTGGATGCCTTTACCCTCGCAGGTGCTGCAGAGGTCATAGTCTGGACAGACAGTGCACTTGAACCTGGCACCCACCACCGGCCCTTCACAGCCATCACAGATCACGTTGGGGTGCACCATGTCGCGGGGAGGCTCCTGGCCGCACTGCGAGCGATGTTCCCGCCTGCACTCCTTTTTCTCTATTAAGGAAAGGAAACTTCACATCAAGAACGAGGTTACTATTTAAAGGCTGGGTATCAGGCAGAGGAGAGGGAGGCACAAACAGCCCTTGTCAGAACAGTATTGACTTACTAGGTCAGTTTATTTTTATGCTGGCTGCCAAACACAAGCTGGGGGCATGTAAGAGAACTTAAACCAAGCGCAAAGGGGTGTCGCAAAGATACCTGCTCCTCAAACTGAGCATGCCTTATCCTTAACAGTCTCTTGGCGTGTTTATTTTAGATTAGTACTGCACTACCCCATTTGGCTTCTCGTCCTGCAAGAACAAAATGTTTCCGGAGAGGGAGCTGGGAAGAAATGCCAGGAGGCATAACAGAGGAGAACGGGGACCAGAGCGCTGGCTGGCTCCTGCGACTCACAGGGCGGACTGCAGACCCAGCTGTGCAGGTATCCGCCTGAGCGGGAGGGACTAGGGGGCAGCTACGCGCTGGAGAGCAAGCTGGAAGGGAGGCTTCCGAGCACGCTGCGACTGCTGAGGATACCGGTGCTACTCTAGCGTTTCCAGGAGACCGCATGACAACAGCGGCTC